TTCTCTTGGCCCTTTTGTAGGTCCTCTGCATCATCTTTCCTCCGTCTCTAGCAGTGAGCCTTTCTCCTTTAACACATGTACAGCTTTTGTAGTTTACGAGCTCTTTCCCACCCCCCACCAGTCATAACCTCTTTCGGGTGATGGAGCTTCTTGTCACAGGTTGGTAACAAGGCAATGCCATCTCTTTGTTTTTCAGGACGTGATCCGAGCCATGAATGTCAATCCCAAGATTTCATTTCCTCCTGAAGTTGACTTTTGCCTCCTCAGCGACTTCATCCAGGAGATATGTTGCATTGCTTTTGCAATGCAGACTTTAGACCCACCCCTAGATATTGCATTTGGGGCTGATGGAGAAATTTTTAATGATTGCAAGTAAGAGACATAAGAAACAGAAGCTAAGGGATTTAAAAAAAAAATCAATCTGTATTTCCTGGAAACAATTTAGGGCAAAGAACTCTGGGTGGGGAACTCAACAGATGTGACCTGACTTCCAGGTCCTGCCGTATACTTCTCTGTACTACAGGGCAGAGCCTTCTCCTGGGGTTTATTTTCTTTCTCAGTCAAACATGATTCAGAAGTGATATTATGATTTCCATTGAAGGTATTGGTCTTGGGCAGAACTAATGAGTACCCGAAGCCTGTCTGGAACACTTTTAAAAAGGGTGCTATGTAAATACAAGTGTGTATTACTTTTTATTTGTTTCTACTGAATTATTTAGGCCAGGTTTCTCAAAGTATGGCCTATGGATCACTTGTGTCAGAATTACTCAGATCTTGTTAAAAAGGCAGATTCCTGGATTATACTTCATGGTATTTTATGCAGTACGTCTGGGATGGCGATCAGGAATCTGACATTTAACAAACACCTATATGTGTTCCTTATGCGCACTACCATTTGAGAATGACTACTGTAGACTTTCTGGGACCATTAGATTTCTTTTTTTTTTTTAATGCTCATTTATTTTTGAGAGAGAGACAAAGTATGAGTAGGGGAGAAGCAGAGAGATCCAAAGCAGGCTCCGGGCTCTGAGCTGTCAGCAGAGAGCCCAACGGGGGGCTTGAACTCATGAACTGTGAGATCATGACCTGAGCCGAAGTCGGATGCTTAACCGACAGAGCCACCCAGGCGCCCCGGGACCATTAGATTTCTATCAACTTCCACATGATAAGTATTTTTTATAAACCAGAAGAAATTAAATGAACTTAAAACATTTTACTGAAATTTTATGGGATCCAGTGATATGGCTGGGGACTATTGGGAGGAGGCCAAGCTTGTGGTTAAGAACACTCTGAGGCTTGAGGTCTGAGGCTCTGACATCAAGCTGCCTGGGTTCAAATCCCAGTTCTACCACCAATTAGCTATATAATCCGGGGCATGGTACTTAATTTTTCTGTTCCTTAGTGCCCTCTCTGTCAAATGGGAGAAGTAATAATACCTGTTTCCTAGGGCTGGAGAAGGTTAGTTGAGCTCATTCAGATAAACTACTTAGGACACTGCTTCGTCTGTAGTCAGCACACAGGAAATGTTAGCTCTTGGGTCTTTGTTCAGCCCGTAGAGTCATAGGGTGGTGGTGGCCCAATATCCCTACAAGCTTGTTAATGACAGAGACTGCATACCTTTCCTTTGCCTCTCCAAATCACAGTGATGGCGTTTCCAATCACCTTCTCGCTTGCCATATTTTCCTGCCATCGCCCTGTTTCTAGTTTCTTTCAGATCATTGCTCCCAACTCGTGTCCACTCTTGGAAGAGCTGGAATTAGGACGTCACACTGTAGTTGACCTTTTTGATTTCCTTACGGAACATATTATCGTCATCCCTCTTTCTTTCTTCTTTTCTCCTTTGGAGAATGCATTGAACCACGCAGAAATATTCATCCACTTTACTTTGTGCAATCTGCACACTTCACAGACCTTGGGGGCCTCCGGCTTCTATGCTTTTCATCAGAGGGAACATGTTGCCCCTTGGGGCACTCTGTAGCTGATACCTCTGGAAAGCTCTAAAGCTAGAACTGGAGTTCCTAACAATGCCTGAGGATTTGGTTCTACTTCACGTACTTCAGAGAACAAGTGTAATCTTTTTTTTTTTTTAAACCCTGGCAGCCTTTCACATATTCGAAAGCAATTGCTCAAGTCTTCCTTCTTCTGGTCTCATGGGTTTGGGCTTTTCCATATAAAGGGGGTCTGAGACTTCTTGAGAAATAGATGGGTGTCTTTGGCCTATGCTCCATGCTCTTCTGAATATTCCTTGTCACGTGTCCACACTGAAAGTAGTCCCCTGTTTTGAGCTGAGCAGCCTGGAGGGACCAGTACCCTTATTCTCTATTAATTCCACTAATTTGTACTCATTTTTTTCTTTTCTGGTTTTTTTTTAAGTTTATTTATTTTGAGAGAGACAGAGACAGTACGAGTGGGGGAAGGGCAGAGAGAGGGAGAGAGAGAAATCCCAAGAGACTTCATGCTGCCAGCGCAGAACATTGGTGTAAAATTTTATTTTTTATTACGCTTAGTCGAGGTAAATATGGATACCGATTCTGTTATTGAAGAGATGGTTGCGGGCTTTCAGAATAGGAACCGGTGATAACAAGCACCCGACATGGACTCACATAGAACAAGTCATGTCAGACTGAACTTATTCCTTCCCTTCTCAGGATTGTAAGAGTTACAGTACAGGACAATTCTAGAGATGGAGATCCTACAACATTGAGCTGAGCAGAGGTGGGGCTCGAACTCATGAAACTGCGAGATCGTGAGCTGAGCTGAAACCAAGAGCCAGACGCTTAACTGACTGAGCCACCCAGGCAACCCCCCAGAAACATGTTTTTTTTACTTGTACTGTGGTTAAGTCTTTTGTTTCTCCTATCTGTGTAATGATACACTTCTTAGACTCAATTCAAGACCTCATACGTATCCACATTACATGGTATCTTATTAGATTCAGCTTATTGTTCCTGCCTGTTGAGCTAATTTTTTATACCATCATTTGTTTCTTCTTTCCTACCCATCCTTAACCTTTGAGTGATTTTTCTATACTTCATGCAATCATTGATGGAACATGTTATTTATCAAGGGATTGAGAGAGAGCACCTTGATTCAAGTTCTCATTGACTCATTAATTATCTTACTTTGGATATGGACCACTTTGTAATTCACCTCCTTAAGTCAATCATCCACCTATATTTCTCTTATTTTGCCCACGAAGACACCATGAGAAATGTTGTAGGATGCCTACCGGATTTCAGATGGTCTCCATCTCTAGCGTTTTCCTGTACTGTAACTCTTACAATCCTGAGAAGGGAAGGAATAAGTTCAGTCTGACATGACTTGTTCTATGTGAGTCCATGTCGGGTGCTTGTTATCACTGGTTCCTATTCTGAAAGCCCGCAACCATCTCTTCAATAACAGAATCGGTATCCATATTTACCTCGACTAAGCGTGATAACAAATAAAAATTTACACCAATGTTCATTTCTCCAGTGATGCTACATCATTGCTTAACTTCTCTTTCTTGTTCTTTTGTGTGTTTAAAACAGGTACCGTCGCAGCTATGACTCCGATTTCACTGCTCCCTTGGTCTTCTATCACGTGTGGCCTGCTCTCATGGAGAATGACTGTGTCATTATGAAGGGAGAAGCTGTCACCAAGAGAGGGGCCTTTGTACGGTGGCCTTGCATAGTGACAATTCATCCCGAGTGTTTGATTCACAAGTTCGAGAACATTTATAAACCCAGAGATTCTATAGAAAAAGTTCATAAAGAGTTGCTTGATAAGGTTTCATACAAAGGAGAGGAAAGGGACTGGCTAGGAAAGAAGAGATACTTTTCTTTGTTTCTTCCGTGATTCCTCATAATTTTCTGGCAGCAATTTCTCTGTTGCTTTCTTTATAAGATGGAACTCATCATATTTGCCTCCTCCTTAGAAATATGCTGTTATAAGGGCAAAGCTCTTTGAGCTCATCTTATTGGAGGCCCTCTCTCATTCTAAGCATTTGGAAGTGATCAATGAACTTTCAGGAAACAGTTGGCCAAAGTTTCACTGACAGAGATCCATTTTGGGAAATGACGAATGTCCTCTGTTTTCTCTCCTTGGTATGATGTGTAGGGAAGGGGGAGGGATGGAAAAAAGAAGGCAGAGGAGATGGGGAGAGAGCAGGCAATCAGTTTTGGAGGGTTGCTTCCTATATACATTGGTTGTAAAATGTTTTTAACATGGTAAATAATTGGGCAGCCTTCAAAATGGAGTAGTAGGTGTGCAAGTGTGTGAGTGTGTGTTGTGGTGAGTGTTGGGTGGCCACAGGGGCTTGGGTATTCTGTATAGTTCCCATGTGGAGTTTTAACCCTGCCCTTCCTAGAGAGAGTTAAGTGGATTGTGAAGAGAAGCTCCTCAGTCCAGTGCAAAGCCACCGTCACGGTGTTCAGGTGCTGGGGATTCAGCAGTGAACAAAAGAGGCCCAAATCCTTGCCCACGTGGGGTTTACATTCTCCCAACACTTGCAAGTTTGAATGTAGGTCTAACAATTTACTCATCAAAACAAAGTTCTAGCACCAAGAATTTGAATATTGCAAAGTTCATTGTAATGGAATTTGTCTGAGAAATACTCTCAAGTTATTGTCAAATATTGGGTAGCTGTAAGAAATGAAGAGTGTATCCCATGCTGATTGCTGCCCAGTAATGGGCAAGTGTAATCGTAACAGCAGAACCTCTCATTCTGTGGGGTAGACATTCGTTTTAGGCCATGTAAGTTTTCACAAACTATTGACTATTTCTCTCTTTTTTTAGTGGAATTCAGTGCGACCTGTAAGTCGATGTCGAAGCAGGAGTTTAAGTCCCATCTGCCCCCGTAGCCATATTGGTTTAAGCACGGTGCGTATCTAACCATTTTTACACAAAGCATCTTAATGGTTGACACTTTTTTTTCCTCAAGAGTCACCAATGCCAGAGGTGATTGTATGTCTATAGGTAGAAAGAGAACTTGTTGCGATAATCCCAAACTAATTTTTTATGCTATCTTGGGCTAAGGCGTTTATCGTTCTAGAAAGAAGGAAGTAGAGGCAGTTTTTTTCTTAATTACTTCAAAGAATAATAGTCTTCACTTATTTCATAGTTTTATTTTTGCTTTGGAATGAAAGTGAGCTAATAGATAAAGTCTTCTGAACAGAAGATGGGAGTGATCTGGGCACAGGTCCTTGATTTCTCTTAAACAGATTGCATGAGTTTGGAGAAATTGCTCAAATGGTCTAGATTTCAAAACTGTATGAAGGGCACTGCAGGTATTAATTTTCCACCAAACTTCAAAGTAGGAAGAATAACATTAGTCTCCTTGAGTATTAGTTCTTGGGGGGGATTACTAGTACCTCTTTTTAAGAAAAAGAACAGCAGGGGTGCCTGGTTGGCTCAGTCGGTTGAGCGTCTGACTTCGGCTCAGGTCTGATCTCACTGTGAGTTCAAGCCCCGCATCGAGCTCTGTCCTGATAGCTTAGAGCCTGGAGCCCACTACAGATTCTGTGTCTCCCTCTCTCTCTGACCCTCTCCTGCTCACACTTTGTGTCTCTCTCTCTTAAAAATAAATAAACATTTAAAAAAATTAAAAAAAAATAACAGCAAAAACATTTCTGAAAACCAAAAACATTGTTGTGATGTATCACTGTTAATTTATTCAACAAATAATATTTAGTCAATGCCTTTTGAATATAGGGCTGGACCACGTCATGTGAACACCAGATAGGCTAACAATTTGCTGTTTCTTCAAATAGAAATTCTTTAAGTATTTGTTCAGTCTTGTTTTAGGGAGAGTGGTGGAGAAGGAGAACCAGATCTGGCAGGACTCCACTTCTCTGAAATCTCTAGCAATGCATCTCTAGCTATAAACTTCCACAACTCCCTCCCTAAAACAAAACCCAAAATAACTGCCATCCCACTCCATTAATAAGATCTACTTTTCTGAGTTTAGTGAGCATCTGTTACTTCAGCATGCTCTTTATCAAATACTCCTCTATTTCTGATGGATGCTAGATTTGGAGGGGGACACAAAAATGATGAAAACATGGTCTCTTCCCTGAATGGGTTTCAATATAGGAAGATCGATATGATTTGAACAGAGTGACTGAGTGTGGTTTATGCCACAGGCCATGCAAGAGGCACGAAGGACTAGAGCAATGAGAGAAGGTAGGAAGTCTTTCTGTCCTTGATAGTGAGGAAGGGGATCATGGGGATCTGACTGGTTAAAATGGTTGGAATTTTAATGTGCTGGGACATTGAGGAGAGATATCCAGAAAAGGGAAATGGCCTGAGAATGGAAAAGGCATGTATCTGATACAGATCTTCTGCTTTTGGAGATTTTAATATCACTTACTTATCCATATTCATGAATAAGTATAGTAGGTAAAAGCAAAAGGATAGTGCATTTAGTGGACTGATAAATGAAAAGGAAATCTTGAGAGTTTTATCCTGGAAGAATCACAATCCCCTTATTCTAAGAGGGCAAGGCTTATCCAAAAAAGCAATATTAGACACCTATAGTGCTTATAGCCATGGCAGATTTTTCCTCTGGATTCTCACTAGAAGACTTATTGGTGGGCAATGTCCCTCTTATAAAGCCCTTTTACATGTTTCACACACCTTCTTTCTCTTTCCTGCTTTGTGCCCAAGGAGAACCAAGTAATTTAAACTTTAGATGAGAATAAAATATATTCTTCTTCTTTTATTTTTTTTAAATAGGCTCCATGCCCAATGTGGTGCTTGAACTCATGACCCTGAGATCAAGAGTTGCATGCTCTACTGACTACGCCAGCCAGGCATCCCTAAAAGATATTCTTTTCTTTTTTAATTTTTAAAAATGCTTTTATTATTTTTGAGAGAGAGAGACAGACAGACAGAGCATGACCTGGGGAGGCCCAGAGAGAGAGGGAGACACAGAATCTGAAGCAGGCTCCAGGCTCCGAGCTGTCAGCCCAGAGCCCGATGCGGGGTTTGAACCCACAAACTGTGGGATCATGACCTGAGCTGAAGTCAGACGCTTAACCGACTGAGCCACTCAGGAGCCCCTAAAATATATTCTTAATGGTGGAACTGCTGCCCCCTTTCTGTCTCTGCACCCTCCTCTCCTTACAATGACTGGATACACCTGCAAAATATAATACAAATGTTTAGAGTGGTCTAGTTTTTGGCTTATTCGAGGTCTTGATGCATCCAGACAGCTGTCATCTTTGTTAGTGTTTATTTATCTAAAGTTTGTGGAAGTTCAGAGCAAGAATGTTGCTTGTAGTCTGTTATCTGTGAGTCATAACAGGTTTGTAGGTAGAGGTGTTGGCTTTTGCTTAGTGAAAGCAAAGGTGAGTTTTGGAAAAATGATTCTTTTCTGGCTCCCCAGGGACCTTCCTTAATGGGGCAGGGTTTTGGACACATGACACAATTCATATAAAGATCTGTCAGAGAGTATTCTGTCATTTTAATTTTAATTAATTATAATGCCATTAATTATTATTTTCTGGAAAGCACTGAATTCAGCATGGCCATTCAATGGCCACTGAGCATCCAATCTCCCAGTCTTCCACAGCCATTAAAACAACAAACAAACAGACTAGGCAACTGAGCCCAGATTTCAATCAGTGACACAGTTTAAGCCAAATCGAGCGCCCGTTACTTCAGGAAATATAAGAGGAATCGCATTGCTCAACCTTAGGGGTGACATCATCGTTCTAAAGTACCTCAGAACAACTACCTAGCTGGTTTTAGGAAGAAAATGTGAAAAAGATTCATTCTTTGAGCTCTGTCTACCGTGTAATTAACATTACTCTTTTGTATTTTCCAGGTATCTCGAAGCCGGAGTCCTTCTCCAATAAGATGTGGATTGCCGAGTAAGTGGGATGGTTTAGACGGCACAAGTTTTGTGCTTTTCAGTGCTCTTTTTGGTACTCAGCGTTGTGCTGCAAAATGAATGTTTTGCCTCCTAGGGAACATCTTTGAACCCCCCCACTTCGTCCTTTTCATTTCTGGGCCCTCTCGTTGATGGTGCCCGAGCAGGTCCCATGGGTGACACAGAAGGAACTCCCAATCGAGAGGTTTTATTGATGTAACCCCAGATTGACCACCCCAGTTTCATTTAGATCCTTCCAAGAGATATTCTGAGAAAGTGTCCATAATCACGAACTGTTTGTTTTTCTCCCTAGGGTTTTAAAACCACCAGACATGTTACCTTGCCACAGGACGTCTGCAACAGCCAACTTCCCCCGTGCCTCTGTCTCCTGTGTCTGCCTCAGAACTCACTTAAGATAATGTGAAAAGGCAATTCTGTGTATCACTCCACACAGAGAGTTAAATGTTTCTGCTTAGCGTGTTTGTAACTTTCCGATATATTGCATAATTATTTTATAGACACAAATTCCATTAATTTGATAAAAACCATTGCATAGGTGTTTAGGATCATATTCATTTGAAGCAAAGGCCATCGCAGAGGTTTAGGGATTGCCTCCTGAAATGCTAGGCTCTTTTGCAGCAACTATACAAACGCTGAGCCTGACCTGAGCTGACAGAGTCAGTTTAGCTTATAAACAGATCGTAAATATTATAGTGGCTGGTATAGCTTTGAATCGAAAACACTACTGGGTGTTCTAATGACCTTTTGTTTGGAAGATAGCCCTCATCTAGGCTGGGGAACTTGGAGTAGGTAGCAGGGGCTCCAGGCTACATGTAGATGGTGATGATTTTGGAGAATAGAGTTCCCCGGCTTGCTTGTCTATGCTATCCGGCTTTCTGCTATTCTTGCTTCCTGCTATGAGGATGCCCGGTTTGGGTTAGCTGGGTGCCAGCATCAAAGCTACTTACCTGAGAGAATGTTCTTGCTTCATAAATGTGGAGCAATGATTGGGCCAGAAGCCAGTTTTGAGATAAGTGGCAATGACCTCATGTTTATCTCGCGGGAATGCTTTATACAGTTTAATGTACATGTTCAGTACAGAAGCTCGCTGGGACGTGTGTTCTACCTACTCCACCTGGTTGGTTGCAAATTCAGACCCCCTAGGAACTGCAGCTGACTAAACATACCTAAACTCAAGGCTTAAAACCAGGGGTACCATTTATTGACTTTGAATGGAGCGAACATACCTCGCTTTCCTCCCTGTGAAGGACTGTTGAAAAATTCGAGTTCAATGTACTGGAATGTAGCTTTCCCAAGATAAGTGATGTTCTTTCTGCTTCTCCCTGCTGCCCCACTTGCCTGTGGCCTTAAACACGGGCTTCACAAATGACTGCTTTTACTGTGTGCCTTTTAGAGAGAAACTCTGAATTGGCCACAGCTCAGTCTCTGCATAAACCCAGTGCCTAAACCGGCACCTAATGCTTTTTAGGTGAAAAAACCTAAAACAAAACAAAACAAAACAAAAACCAAAAACCAAAACCAACAAAAACAAAGGAAAAAAACCTTCTCTGAAGCATCTTGTCCCTTTTGCTGGTAGCTAGATATGATGGGAGAGACCTTCTCTACCTCTGTCTCTTGGGTCCAAAGATCACCCACTCATTCAGAACTGTGAGGTTAATTTTTCTCCCTCTGTGTATTTTTTTTTAAATTTTTTTTCAACATTTTTTATTTATTTTTGGGACAGAGAGAGACAGAGCATGAACGGGGGAGGGGCAGAGAGAGAGGGAGACACAGAATCGGAAACAGGCTCCAGGCTCTGAGCCATCAGCCCAGAGCCCGATACGGGGCTCGAACTCATGGACCGCGAGATCGTGACCTGGCTGAAGTCGGACGCTTAACCGACTGCGCCACCCAGGCGCCCCTCCCTCTGTGTATTTTTATGTAGTCATCACGTTGAGGCAAGGCAGCATGCTGCAAGGAGAAGTTGGTATCCAGGTAGCTCCAGTTCTGACTTGGTTATTAGTTTGCCTTTGTGACCTTGAGCAAGTTACTTCACCTCTCTGAGCCTCAGTTTGATTGTAGAGTGAGGAGGTTGAACGAGATCAATGGTTCTCAACCCTCCTAGATTCAGTGCCCCTTTATGACAAATATTCTGATCATTCTGAGATAAAATTCAAAGTTGTTATGATCCAAATGCATACAGACTTTTAAACAATGAGTATAGTGTCCTAACTAATACAAAGCAGAACAAAGGGAAAGCAGTTTTTAATGATAAGTATTTCAGTAAACAGGCATTGGCATTGCCATTCTAGAAGATAAGTCATCAGATGCCTATACCTGTGTAGAGTCATGAGCTACAAATTCTAGGTCAGTGTGTGCTCACACCATAGCAGTGTTGGATATGATATTCTAAAATGGTGGACAACTCTTGGTAAAGTTTTAGACGAGAAACTTAGTTATACCTTGATCTACATAGTAAGTGCATTCCTGGAAAAGTGGATTACATTGAAACCATGCCACTATTACTTTGTGTTGGATGTTAAAGATCATTTCCAAAATCTCACTAGGTAATGAGAATGCATTTTTAGGTGTTGAATGGGGGAACGCATACGCTGATTTGCAAAATGTTCACATGTAGCTTAGTTGATTTGCTCTGTACCCTGTCTGGCCACTTGTCATCTCTCAGGTCTCTGATGTGAACTGTAACCACACAGGGAGTAGTGAAGAGTCAGGAATAACTTTTGGGAAGGATCTACAAAGCCAGAGGAGGCCGACCTATACTCATCTCATCTGGGCATTCACCTTAACCTTAGTAACTTTGAAATGTGAAAAGCTCTTACTTTGTAACTGGTAAATGTCCATGTCTATACTATTGGTTTAGCATCTAAATAATAAAATCAAGAAAAAGAGTGCTTCTGTATCTGTAAATGCTTTCTTTCCAGATCCCCACGTTCAGCCATATCCTTTGCCCATCTCCATTCTGTAAGGTTGGAACCAGGGTCACAGATTCATTTAGTAGATAATGGACTCCGCTCCTGCTCTGGGGTTGACCCTGTGAAAGCTGCAATTTTACGTTGTAGCTTAATTGCCAGTTTTAGTTAATACGATTCACAATCCCGTGTCATCATAGTCAAGATTCTGTCTCTGAGTAGTGCTTGGCCATTTTAATGGAGCTTGCACTTACTTGATTTGCCCCTGCAGCAAATTCAGTCATGTGTTCAACTTACAAGTAAGGAAGCTGTGCCCCGATACGCCATGCTGCCTTCTTCCAATGCCTTTTCTTTCAGAATAACATTCTATCCTGTCTTGTTTTGTTCTGCCATGGCTATTACATCAGTTCTTTCATTTATTGGTTCGTTCACTCACACACTCATGAATATTCAGTACCTATTACTAGGGACAGAGTGGTGGACAGGGTTCTGGCCCTTGTGGAGTTCAATGTCGTGTGCAGTTGCACTCTTTGGTGATTTTCTTGTCACTGAGAGCAGATACTGATGGAAGACAGAGAAGAAAATGGGGTCAGCACAGCGTATCCATTGAAGAATTCAAATACGTTAATTGGGAGGGCAAATGCCCATATATAAGAAAGTTATGTAAGGAAGTAGGAGAAAAGTGGTGAACTGCATAAGAGGATATAACTTGGTGTAACTCAGTTATGTCATTCACAGGTAAAGTACTCAATCTTTCAACAAATATCTACTAAGCCTATGATCCCCAGGATCATTAATAATAAAATGAGTATGGGGGGGGTAACTCATAACTCATCTTATGAGTTACTCTAACACTTATGAGTTAATTCTAACACTTCCCATGACCACAGCCGTGTGTTCCACCTGCTATATTCCTAAGCAACAGGGCAATTTGCAGACCAGTGTAATTCATTTCTAGGCACCCCACGTCCTTCATGAGCTAGATTGCGGCCAACAGTGTTCTATAAAGTTTGAGTTGAGTAAGAGATTTCTTAGTGGTATGACTTTGGATAATGTCACACCTATAATTAAGGGCAAAACATTATGGAGCTTTTAAGAAAACTAGTATTACAAACTGCATTAGGTCATTGAAATGTGAGCCCAGGAACCACATGGGTAAGTGACATTTGGGGTTTGCCATTGAAATACCAAAGCAGTGAAGTGTGTTGGTTTTAATACAGTGAGTGAACAGGGACCTTGAAAATAAAGCAGGAACTAATTTTCTTACTTCAAAATGAAATGTAACGGGACATTTTATGCTTGAAACGTTGCCCACTGGGTGCCAGCATGAATATTATACTTTCCATAGTATCACTGGCAATTAGTATATCAAAATTGGGCAGCTAACTTAATTTTCTATTGGGTGGGAAACAAAAGAATATGACACATAGGTGTGTTATAGCTTTATTTCAGTAGAGTTTAAGCCAAACTTGCGTCACTATAATGTATTGAAATGTGATGTGAAATATATTTTAGAAGAGATCTTTAGTAATTGGACAGTTATCAGAAGATCTTGAGTGTCATTTGATGAATCAGAACCTTTAGCAATTGATATCTGCCCTTGGAATACTGGGGCTGGAGCATTACATTTCCCTTCTACTGAGTTCCATCTTCTTAGACAAGGGAACAAGTTTCGGAGCTATGTCCTCAGAATAACACAGTTTAGGATTGGCTCAGCTGGGTGAGTCACAAGTTGAAGCAAGAATGGAAACATCATTCATTTAAGAAGACTTTGCTGATGTTGGTTAAGTGATGTTCCAGGCACTGTGTTAGGCCCTGAGAATACAATGGTGAACAAGACGTTTGGTTGTGAAGAGAATGTGCTCAGCCCTCGTTGGCAGCATGTACCTATGGGATGGGTCTGTGGTCCCTCTCAAAGATGGGCAGTGACTGGTAATGATCTTTTGCTTGGGAGATAATCTTAAGTCCATGATGGTGATGGTGGGTTGCATCAGTTTTCTTTGGGAAATAATCTTAAGCCCATTGTGATGATAGTGGGTTGCATCAGTCTTCTTTGGGAGGTCATCTTGAGTCCACTGTGGTGATGGTGGGTTGCATCAGTCTTTTTGGGAGGTCATCTTGAGTCCATTGTGGTGATGGTGGGTTGCATCA